TCTCTCCGCCCTACCTCCTCTTCCTGCCCTTCTCTCTTTTCCGCTGCCTCCCCCCCTCTCTCAACTCAAATCCTCCTCCCCCCCTCTCCCCCCCCCCCCCCCCCCCCCCCCCCCCAACACTAGAGTCAGGAAATGAGACAACATAAACCCACACACTGTGTGTATGATTTTAGATAAGTAGCCTCCTTATCAGCCTAAAGAAGTAATATTAACAACAGCAGCAGACCTAATAATATCAACAATAATAATAATAATATGACATGAGGTTGTTATGATGTAAGTGAGTCCTTGTTCTGTGCATCTGTTGCCACAGGGCTCTGCTCTGACCAGGGCTTTACTGTAACTGACCCCCCCTTGTGGCAACAATTAGAAAAACACCAGTCAGACACCTGTAAATAAAAAAAAGAAGGCCCATCATGTCAAGTGGTGGAAAACACCTTTACTGCCATGTGATGTTCAACATATAAGTGTTTTTTCCCAAAAAGTCAGGGGTAATTCCACTTCTGCATGACCTTTTTTTTTTAAACCACTGAAGGGTTTTCCTTAAAGCATGGTTCTGGTTCTGACTTATTGGGGTTTGAAAGATGTAAGACTTGTTGCACTTCCTGTTATTATAGTACAGGCTCTTCCCACAAGACTGAATCATCCAGAAGTCGCTCATTTTTTTTTAAATAATTTGCTTCCAAGGAGCCAGAAGTTTTCTGATCTTTTGAGTAGAACGTCCTTGGGCTTTTAAAGTTTTATTTTATTTTATTTGAACTTGGGCTGTGTCTTCACTCCCCTTAAAGTTTGGTTCTCTTACCTGAAATCTTGCAGAGAAAGTTTTGTTTGCTAAAATGCTTAACTCTGACCTATGAGTCAATCAGGCGTTTAAAAAAAAAAAAAAAAAACGTTTGGTTCTATGAAAAATAACAAAGATAGCACAGTTTGACACATAAAACACTTTGATAACAACAAGGTAGAGTTTTGGTCAGATGAGCTTGTGAAGGATGATGTATCTCAGTTCCTGTTGGGTCTTTGCTGAAAGATTTATTTTGTTTTGACAAATCTTTTCTTTCTTCATCTCTTAAGCACACAATGCACAATATGCTGGGAGCGTGCACGAGAGGACTTTAACAAGAATTTAACAAGATTAACATTGAAAAACAATTATTTGTTTGCTCGAAATTATAGTGAAGGTGTGTCTCAGTTGATGTTTTCCTTAATAAATGAACTTTAATGGTCAAATCAGCTGCATTTCTCCTGGGCTGAGCGGCAAAATGCAGCTGATTTGACGTTTGCTCCAGGAGTTCCAGAGCAAGATGAAGGTGGGTGGTATGGCAAGCCAAGTGTCTCATTAATAGCCACTTTTACCTATTAATGAGACACTTGGCTTGCCATATACCTCCAGGGCCCTCTAGTGGCTGAAAATGGTTTTGTTCAATATTTTCTATGTCAGAATGAATGAAATTGTTAGATCTCAGCCAAAAATTGAGTTATAAATATGGGAATAAAAAAAAAAAAATGCATAGCTTCACTGTATAAGTCACAGGCATGCTAATTTATTTAAAAAAACTGTGACTTATACAGCGAAAATTATGGTACTTACTTACTTACTTACTTATACACTTACTTGTATACTTACATACATACATACTTTTTTTTATTAATCCCATAGGGGAAATTTGAGATATTCAGGGGGCATTTTTAAACTTTTGCACAACACAGGTGGTCACCAACTTGAAGTGGATGTACTCAGGTAAATACAGATCTTTTTCTTTACTCTGTGATCAGTTCAGTAAAGAAAAGCAAAAATGCTAAAAGTAAAACTTTGTAATGACAGAAATCAAAACTGTCAGCAAAACATCAAAGTTCATGCGCAATAATCTAAGTTTGTTGTGGCTTCTCGTACTGATGAAGTCCTTTGGATGAAGGACAAAATGTTTAAATTAAAAAAAAAGAAACCATCCAGAGGACATGACTTAACTTTGTTGGATTATCTGCAAAGTTTAATTAAATTGTTTCAAATAAAACCTCCTGGTTCTGCTGAAAAATAATTTATTAAGACAATATTTTTGACCTGGCTGTAAATTCTGATACATCGGTAACTTTAGATTTTATGTTACAGACTTCAGTAGCTAATTTTCTTCAGTCGGGTGCTAAATTCAGACGTTTTTGCTTTGCAGGTCAGACACCAGACAGACCTGGGCGGACATGATGTCATCACTGGACCTCATCCTGGTCTCTTTGGAGCCACCTCGTTCACAGGTGCTGAAGTTTTGCTGATTCAACTAGGCGTTGTTAGATTTTACTTATCAATGTTACACAAGCGCGTACATGAATGCAGGATTTTTCCAACATTATTTCTTGCAGCAGATTTCCCTCCACGAGCCCAGCCTCTACCATTTGACGTGATTCCAACAATCCTGCAAGAAACAAACCAGCATTATTCACAGAGACTAAAAACACTGAATAGAAATTTTTGCAAAGTATTTGACATTTGTTTTACTGAAAATGTTGTAAAGAAACAATATTTTGTATTTACAGTATTTTTTCTTTCGGCTGGCGATTGTTATACACCAGATGTGCTTCCTGACATCACCTGGGCTCAAACCCGCAGCCTCAGGATTATGAGACTGTGGCACAGACCACCGAGCTACCACAGCCCTCAATATGAACACAGCTTATGGATGTAGATTAACTTGGAGCCCTCAGTTATAAGGTATCTGTCAGTGAAAATTACTCCATAGCCTCAAGAATATTGTAATATTATTGGTTATTTTGAGTCGGGGGTGGTGACGCATAAGTCAAGGTTTCTTTATTGTCATTTGCATCATATGTGGTACATGTGGTGGAATGAAATTGTGTACACAGGGTCCCAGTTACATCCAATAAAAGTATAAAATGTAAAAGAAAAGCATTAATAAGATTCAAGATATGAACTAAGAATACACTAAGCACTAGTAGTACAAAAACAACACACCGACGAACAGCAGCAGGGTTAGAGAAGGTGAGCCTGTGATCAGAAGATCGCTGGTTCAACTCCCGGTACAGACAGCATCAAAATGTGAGTGGGATAGGTGAAGCACCCACACCTGCCTCCACCTTCATTTGCCCCACTCTGGATCCTTGAGCAAGACCCTTAACCCCCACCATCTGCTCCCTCGGGTGTCCTAGATAGCAGCTCTCTGCTCCACACAGAGGGCTGTGGTAGCTCGGTGGTTGCGTCAGGAAGGGCATCCAGTGTAAAAACAATTGCCAAGTCTTCGTCGACTTAGTTCGCTGTGGCGACCCCTGAAGAAGGGGGCAGCCAAAAGAAAAATAAATACATTGATTATTTGGGAGTAATTGTATCCACAACTTGAACAACAGATACAACTGTATACAAAACTTTTAAAAGTTTTACAATAATTGCATATTAATGGGTGGTAATGTAAAAAGCACTGAAGCTACCTTACTGCTGTTCTGTCACAATTATCTGTCCTGTGTCTTGTTGTGCAGCTTTAAAATGAAACATGCAAATTAAACACTTAAACATGCAGCTGGATTGGGAATAATCTGCCATGACTTTTGGTAGAAGTTTGTCCCACAACGTAAATAAAATTTATTAAAAAAAAAGAAAAGAAGAAAACTGGCAATCAATGGGGTTTGGGCAGAACAGATGAGAAAAACCAGCCCTCTGGAGATTTATAGCTCAGGCATAATACATTTTACAATTACATTTTAAACCCAAATATTCTCCTCACAACTGCAACTGAAGGGTCATTTTAACTTATTATCGATCTTACATCAAGCACTGTAGAAACAAAAAATAATATGTGACCCTTCGAGTCTTTTGCTGCTCATTATTCAAGAATATTTAAGATCTGATTTATTGTTTTTGGCACAGGAACTTCTTGCTTTTTCCCAAAAATAATTTCTGTACATCAGTACAGAAGAATCTTAATCAATGGCTGTCAAATTCACAAACTGAGATTGTATTTTCAATAATGCATACTAAATAAATCTTCCTTTTTATAATTCTAATGTCAAGTGGTGAGGCTCAGATGAGCTTCCACAGTGTGGAGTGAGTGTCAGCGCCACACTTTCAGTGTGTACAGTAAACTTTGTGTTACTGCCTGCAGGAATGAGGAACTGTGGACAGGCTTGTTTCTTAGGAAATAAGAGTGCATCGGCTGTGACCAGGAATCGTTGTAGGTTTGAGGAAGTGGGAAACCTTCATGGGGAAGAGAGGGGTGGCACTGCACAATGTAGTGTGTGTGTTTGGAGAGAGAGAGAGAGAGAAATGTGTAGCCTGAAACAGTAGGAGGTTGGATTGTGCCTCCATTAGGTCTGGTTGGCGACCAAGAGCCAGACTGCAGAGAATGCCGGGCCATGTGGATTATGTCTGCAGGACTAATGCTCTCTTTCTCTCTCTCATCCACACACTACACTTCCAAGCAGGGCCTACAAACACAATCCCTTATTGAAACAAGCTGCTTTGCCCAAAGCTGTTCCTTGTGCCAACATGGTTTTACAATCCGCCTGACACGATGTGCGCAATCCTGGTCCCACTTCCTCAACGGCACTCCTCCCTGTCTTTACTGCTCTCTCCCTCACAGCTCAGGGACAGTTTGGGGCAATAGGTACGTATTTACCACCAGGAACACTCACAGAGACAATCCACTCTGAAAACAGTCACAGTGGGAAGAAAAGGCAAGGCTTTGAGAATGTACCTGCCCATGGCTTT